TCGTTTAAAGCGAAGTAGTCGATAGTCGTGGATCCCGTTCCTGCTCGACATGTTACTTGAGTTGGCACTGCCATGGTGACCTTTGCCGTGCGAGGAAAACCAGTAGACTCCAGTTCTGACGCAGACATATTCCAATCACATCCAGCAGTACAACGCCCACGACAGTCGGAGAAACATTGCCCGAGTTTGGCCAAGATAATGGAGTTGATGCCCGTGGGACCGATGGAGTCCTTGAGATAACCATTCAGAACGTGATAAGCTGGCCATCCAGGAAGATCTACCATCACATGCTGTAGTCGGTGTGGATGCAGAACATGTTGTCCATGCTCGGGCTCACGAAGTCCCAGCTCAGAACGTGCAAACACCGCTACTCCATCAGACGGATTACCTCCCGTAGCCACGCCAGGAACTGCAATTAACTTCCATCCACGATTGTGCGCCCACGTGTACAGGGACTCGACGTTGGATGCAGCATGCCCAATCTCTTGAGCCAGGAGTACATGCGCACATGAACGTTTCACTCGATCTTTAAGCGTATTGCGACCACCGTTGGCGTTGAACGATTCGAACAAGTACGTGCTCTGCGAAGGTGGTGCAGGGATTGGCTTAGTATTTCCAGCCACCGAAACGGGTACGCCAGAAACTCTCACAGCCACAAAATCATCTACCAAGCCTGAAGGTCGGCACTGCGACCCGCCACCGATCCCTGCAGTTGACCCGCGAGGTCCAGAGAGCGAGCAGTGCGTGCCATCCGTGGATGGTCGGTACCCTCTACTCTCAGTTGTCCTCAGTGCGGGCGAGTCGCAGGAACCAAGCGAGCCACAATGCGTGCCGACAGGCGGTAGTTCTGCACCTGAAGAATTCACCATTTCAGAAAACATCTGCGACCTGGGTCGGGTGGGCTCCGAGGAGGGCAGGGGCTCTGCATTCCTCGCAGCGCACAATGGATCTGAAGCCAGCCCAGAAAGCACCCTGCACAGCATCTCGCACGCGCTGTTGCTACCCACGTCGTTGACGCTTGGCGAACTCGCCAGGCTTGGTGTTGAACGCCTCGAAGCTTTCAGATTCAAAGAGATACTGCTTCTCTTCGTCGGACAGGTCCTCGAAAGTTCGCTTAGGAGCTTCACTGGGGCCAGACTCGCCCCCGCCACCAGCAGGAGGCTCGCCATCAGCACGAGCAGGAGCTGGAGGGGGCGCAGCAGCGAACTTGCTCTTGAGCACCGCCTGCAACTTGGTCCACAGCTCGGACCCGAGGAAGGACTGCAAGTCGCCATCGCTGACGTCCGAGGCCTTGACGTCGAAGTCGAAGTTGGGTGTAGCTCTGGCGTCGTCTCGTGGGGCAGGATGCCCAACCAACGCCGCCGTGCGCTTGAACTCCGCCTCCAGGGTGGTGACCTCGGCTCGTTCAGCTTGTAGCTGCGCGCGCCGAGATTCCAAAGCTTCCTGCATCTTTGCAATCTGCTGCTCCTTCTCGTTGATATCACTTTCCAGCTTCGCGCTGTGTAACTTCGCTTTTTTTCCAAATCTTGCTGCGCACGGCGGTGGGCTTGCGTGGGAGTCCGCAATGCCCTGTGCTGCTCACGCAGCTCGGCCAGCTTGTCCTAAGTCGCCTTCTTGATCTGGTCACTCTCATCGCCAGGGAGCGCCTTGAGGATCGACTCATATTGCGCAATATGGCTCGATAGCCTTGCACGCTTGGTAGAATCATCTTCTTCCGTGTCCATGCTGTTGCCATCTGCTTTTGGTTCTTGCTTTCACGGCGGTACCCCTTCGCCTGGCGCTGGCCAGACCTTCGGAGGCGTCGCACTTGGAGATGGACCGCCTTGGCCGAGGTGAAGCTTCTCAAGGGCCTCCAGACGCTTACTCGTTTCATCCTTAGGCTTGCCACTTGCTTGCCCTTGCCCACCTGCACGATCACCTTTGGACAGGATCTCTTGGTGAGCGGTCCAAGCGGCCTTCTTGATACGTAACGGCGCTTCATTTCCACACTGACAGCGGACTCGCGATGCCCAGTTCGCCGAAGCTGAGCACCGCCCACATGCCCACGTGGGCCGCCGCGGCCCGCGGAACACCGCAGGGGCGGACGGCGGCGGCCCTGGCGCCATGCTGGCGCCCGCGTCTTGCTCTTCTGGGAGGGAGCCCAACCCCTCGGTGCAGGCGAAAGCAGATGTCGGGCGCAAGCGCCCTGGCACAGCCGCGGACTAGCGGTATCCGTGAATGCCAATGCGGGCTCAGCCCGCCAAATCATAGGTCTTGAGCCAAAATGGCTACGGCCCTCAGGGCGAGGGGGAGGAAGAGGAGGAGGAGGAGGAGGAGGAGGAGGAGGAGGAGGAGGGGGAGGGAGGAGACTGACTGACTGACTAGCTCATGGAATCCCTCGTCAGCTTAGCCTCGACGCAACAAAAATTATAGCCGGAGTGCAGTATCCCCAAACAGGGTTTTTAGACCCACTGCGGTTTCCAAGGTCGATTGCGTGCCCGCCCAGTGCGGGCTGGCATGGCATGTTAAAACATGCCTCCTCCTCCTCCTCCTCCTCCTCCTCCTCCTCCTCGTCCACCTCCTCTTCATCCCGAAAGGCATCTCGGAACCCAGAGTTGCGAGGATGTCTCCAGCGTAACGGGCTGGACCACCTCGCGCGCGGCATTTCGGACCCCAGAGTTGCGACGATGTCTCGGGCGAAACGTGCTGCGAGGAAGTCTCAGGCGAAACGGGCCGGACCACCTCGAGCGCGGCGTCTCAGAGCTCCGAGTTGCGGGGGCCTCCTGGTGCCTCCTGGGGCCTCCTGGGGACCTCCTGGGGCTTCCTCCCGGGCCTCCTGTGGCCTCCTGAACTCCACCTGAGGTTTCCTGAAGCATCTTGGGGCTCCCAGGGGGGATATCTAACCTGTGGCCGTTTGGGCCTCTCCAAATACAGGGGGGGGCCACAGGAGCAGGAAAAATCAACGAATCGACACCGGATGTGTATTAACTTGACACGTTCTGATAGAGGGCCTCCTGGGGCCTCCTGGGAGCCTCCTGGGAATCTCCTGCGGACCCCTGGGGCCTGTCCTGGGCGTCCTGCGGCCTCCTGAAGCTCTCTGGGACCTCCCCCTCCTCCTGCCTGCTCCCTCATGCACATCATCCGCCTCCTCCTTCTCCCTTCCATCTCCTCCTCCTCCTCCTCCTCCTCCTCCTCCTCCTCCTCCTCCACCTCCTCTTCATCGCGAACGGCATTTCGGAGCCTAGAGTTGCGAGGATGTCTCCAGCGTAACGGGCTGGACCACCTCGCGCGCGGCATCTCGGACCCCAGAGTTGCGACGATGTCTCGGGCGAAACGTGCTGCGAGGAAGTCTCAGGCGAAACGGGCTGGACCACCTCGAGCGCGGCGTCTCAGAGCTCCGAGTTGCGGGGGCCTCCTGGTGCCTCCTGGGGCCTCCTGGGGACCTCCTGGAGCTTCCTCCTGGGCCTCCTGTGGCCTCGTGAACTCCACCTGGGGTTTCCTGAAACCTCTTGGGGCTCCCAGGGGGGATATCTAACCTGTGGCCGCTTGGGCCTCTCCAAATGGAAGGGGGGGGGGGGCACAAGAGCAGGAAAAATCAACGAATCGACACCGGATGTGTATTAACCTGACACGTTCTGATAAGCGGCCTCCTGGGGCCTCCTGGGAGCCTCCTGGGAATCTCCTGGAGACCCCTGGGGCCTGTCCTGGGCGTCCTGCGGCCTCCTGGTGCCTCCTGGGCCTCCTGGGGACCTCCTGGAGTTTCCTCCTGGGCCTCCTGTGGCCTCCTGAACTCCACCTGAGGTTTCCTGAAGCATCTTGGGGCTCCCAGGGGGGATATCTAACCTGTGGCCGCTTGGGCCTCTCCAAATGGAGGGGGGGGCACAAGAGCAGGAAAAATCAACGAATCGACACCGGATGTGTATTAACTTGACACGTTCTGATAGAGGGCCTCCTGGGGCCTCCTGGGAATCTCCTGGGGGCCCCTGGGGCCTGTCCTGGGCGTCCTGCGGCCTCCTGGACCTCTCTGGGGCCTCCTGAGGCTCGCAGGGTCCCATGGAGGATATGTAACATGTGGCCTTCTGGGCCCCCAGGCTGGACCACCTCTTGCGCAGCATCTGAGAGCTCAGAGTTGCGAGAATATCTTGTGCGAAACAGGCCGGACCACCTTGCGCACGGCATCTCAGATCTCAGAGTTGCAAGGATTTCTCAGGCGAGACGGGCCGGACCACCTCGCGCAGGGCATCTCAGAGCTCAGAAGTTCGAGGATGTCTCAGGCGAAACGGGCCGGACCACCTCGCGCGCGGCATCGGGGAGATCAGAGTTTCGAGGATGTCTCAGGCGAAACGGGCCGGACCACCTCGCGCGCGGCATCTTGGAGCTCAGAGCTGCGAGGATGTCTCAGGCGAAACGGCCCGGACCACCTCTCGCGCGGCATCTGGGAGCTCAGAGTTTCGAGGATGTCTCAAGCGAAACGGCCCGGACCACCTCTCGCGCGGCCTCTCAGAGCTCAGATTTAGGAGAATGTCTCAGGCGAAACGCTCAATCCCGGACAACTCAGAAACGAGAGTTGTGAGGATGTCTCAGGCGAAACGGGCCGGACCACCACATTTGTTTGAGGATGTCTCTGCTTAGCTTTCCCTCGGCCGGAATTGGCTTCTATCACAACAGCACCCCGTTCAGCAAGCTGTTTGGGGAAAAATCAGCAAAGCTTGGATTCTGAGGGGCGAAACCTTAATCCCGCCGTTTTTTAAAGTGAGAGCCGTGCACACGCCGTGGCACTGGCACCCACATCCAGGGGGAAGGGAACCAACACGGTGGAGCCACCAGGGCCAGAACCACCTTGCTGGCCCCCCCCGTCCCCCTCGATCAGGCACCACTGCCTGGCGCACCGCCCCGTGAGGAGGCCCCCCCCCGCCCAGAGGCATTCGGCCTCGATGGGGGGCCTCCGAGGGGGCTGAGACCTACCTTTCCCACTGGAGCCCCTACCGCGCCCACGAGGCGCCTGTCGAGGGAGAGTTAACGTCGGGACAGAAAGTGGACGGGGAGGGGGTCTCGGCGGGAGATGGCCTGCAGCCTGTAAGGCCCTAAATCTCTCGCTCTGACGCCAATCGAATCCCGCCGGACCCACCAAAAAGTTCTGGGCCGCGGGCGTCACCGACTCGGAACCCGAGTTCCTCACTGAAAAGATGCACTGGCCAGGCCCACGATACCCAGCCCCTTCGCCATTATCGGCCTGACTCCCCGATGTAGATAGACGTGGGCCAACCGTCGACGAAGCATTCAGATCTCGTTGATCATCCTCGAGAGCTGGCGGTGCAACGGGCCTGGAGGGGCTGCGCCTGGCTTGTGGATCGCCCTCATGTCTGCCATGGCTTCGGCCAGCAACATCGACAGCTTCGGGCCGTTCGCGTGAGAGAGCTCCACCGCGTACATGATCATCCCCTTGTCGGTGCCCTTCGCGTCCTCCTGCATGTCGTCGCTGTTGCTCTTGCCCTTGCCCTTGTTCGGCTTGCCCCTGTGTGGCTTCCAACGGAAGTATTGTGCCAGGGCCGCCACCTGCTGGGAAGTGAAGCGCATGATCACGTCCTTCCACAGGCTCGCAAAGCCATCGGTCAGCTCCTGCTTGGTAAGGTTCCCCTGCGTGCCCCACCACTTCACCGACGCTGCGAAGATCGCCGCGTGCGGCGCCCCCCTGCTCTCGTAGTCGACCTGCTCCCCGTTTTTGGCCTTCTCGCGCAGGGCGGTGGACTGCGCGTCGTACGCCTTGCCCGTCGCCTCTTGCTGCTCGGACAGGCCGCCCTTCTCCGCCTCGAACTTTTTGAACACGACGGCGGCTAGCTCTTGGATCTCGCGGGAATCCGCTAACACGAGGCGCCCCATCGTCTTCACTGTCTCCTTCAAGCCCTTGGTGCCGCCGCTGCCCCTGTCGTCGTCGCTGCGCCCTTTCTTGTGTGGGGGAGCGCCATTCGTCTCTGCCGTCGGGGGCGCCGGCCACGGCGGGGTGCCCTCCAGGGCCATACTGCCGCTGACGCCGCCGATCCGACTGAGGGCGAGGTCGCTGCGGAAGCGCCGTGCGTGGCAGATGCTGAACCAGATGACTACAGAGATGATCCAGATCGGCGTGTTCGACCCCGCAAACTCTGCAAGCGAGGCTATCAGGAGGAACCAGAGGGTGCAACTTCCGAGCCCCACCAGGTCGACAACATCCCCGAACCAGCGAGCGAGCAAGATGACGTCCAACCACCAGTCGAGAGCTGAGAACCGCACGGCAAACCACACACACGTTAGTAGGAGACATAACGTGTCCAGCATTACGGACATGATGTTTAGCACGAAGATGGTAAAGTAGACCACGTTTCGTACGAAAGACCATCTCGCACCTACTGCCATCCTCCACCACCCACTCACACTGCCATTCACGTAGGACCTCAGGGACTGGTGGAGGAACCTCTTGTGGGGGCTGGTAGCCTGGCGGAGGAACTTGCGCTCGGACCTGGGCCGAACGAATAACCGAGAAATCTATCTTGACGAAGTCGGGGGCAACCTCAGGGCCCACGAACCCGCAGGGGAACTCGGAGAGCTCTTCCATCACCATGGCCTCCCCGCCCAAGATCTTCCAGGCCTCCCGAAAATCCTCCTGGAGACGACGAGCCCACGGAGACGCGTGCTTTGTCAGTCGATCAGCGACCACAGGCCTGTAACGGTCAAACTCCAGTGTCGGCAAACGGCCGAACAGTGCACACAGGAGCTGCTGGTGACTACCAGGGAAACGTGCCATCTGCTGGTAACAGCTCAGGCGCCGCACGAGCAGCTCTCTTGCACTCGGCGTCAATTTCCAATACTGAAGCACTTGGGCATTCGACCAGGTCGTCGTATGTACGCCCTCATGCGAAGTACCCCTTCCCTGCAATGGCACCCGACACAATCGGGCAAGATGCGCGTCCAAATCCTTATACTGTTGGGGAGTCACCATCATCGCCTCCAGCCCACTTAATAACGCATTCTGGACGAGCCCAATAAGAATAGTACGAGTCCATCTCCAGGGGCACTTGAGGGACCAGAAACCTCCCATGGAGTAGAACCCTGACGACGCCGCCTCTTTACGACGAGCAACCTCTGGCCCAGTAGTCCCCGAGAAAGAGACATGAGGCCCAAGGTACCGCGTAGATTCATGCAATTCACCTCCAAGAATGGGAACGGCATGGTGGCGAAGCCAACGTTTGACCTTGATGCCTCCTACTCCCGAGACGTGAAACAGCGAAACCTGTTTGCTACGATTGGCCCCGGATCCCACCTCCTGCAACTCCTCCTCCAGAATCTCATCCGACATACGCATCCACTTCAGGAACTCCGAGATCCTCTGGAAACGAGCAGCGACCATGAAATTCCAAATGTCATCAGCATATTTGAAGAGGCTCAAGTTGGCACGCATTTCCTTCCATTCTGCTATGGGGAGGGAGGAGGAGGGGGAGGAGGAGAAGGAGGAGGAGGAGGAGGAGGAGGAGGAGGAGGAGGAGGAGA